TGTGTGTGTGTGTGTGTGTGTGTGTGTGTGTGTGTGAGACTGCATCCTGGGCCAGCCACAAATGGTGATTTTTTTTAAGTGACCCTAGCCCTTGCTCCCCCCACATCTGTAGTGACCCATCATTATAAATAAGCTTTAGGCAATGAAGGAGACACCCTTGTCCCACACTGGGGCTCACACAGCTGACATCAACAAACCTGACAAGCAGAAAAGTTGCTTTCTTGACCCTTGAAGGAAGCCAAGAGGAGCTCATGCAGATGAACGGGCGGGGAGCAATGCCATTTCTCTTGGAGATGGTTACAAGTAGCTGGTATGGGTTTGCAAGGGCAGAAGGAGCTCCTGATGAGTTCTTTCACCCTACGGATGGGCTGGGACCGGCTGACATGGACGATGGAGGAGGGCAGTGCTGGCGAGAGCTCCGTTCCACTGGGAGGAGAGGGGGTGGTTTGGATAAATGGAGGAAGCCACTGTCCTAAGGAGGCAGCCTGGCCCCTCCAACCTGCTGAGAGCTGAGGGGGGCTGTGGTGGTGGGCTGGGCAAGCACGGCACTAAAAAGGCCACGGCCCCGCAGCAATAACAGCTGGGAGGGATGGAGGGAGAAGCAGCACTTGGAATGGCCTTCATTCAGCAGTGGGGCAGGGGGTGGCTGGCACGGGTGGAAGGACAGTGCCCAGGAGGCCTTCTCCCTGCAGGGGGGTTGAGAACGGTTGAGGGTGTGGAGACCAGCAGCTGGCAGCAGACACATAAAACAGCTTCTCCAGGGAGGCTGAGATCATGGCTTTGGGGTGGCCAAGCACCATTCCCTACTCAACCTCTCCAACGCCCACCACCCCCGCCAGACCTCCCCCTGCTTGTCCTAGGTGGCCAGTCCCACGTCTGCATTCACGACTGCCTGCTGTATACACCAGGGATCCCTCTTCTGTTGACATGGAACCACCTCTGGGCTTTAACCCTGCTGCTGTTCTAGGCTGACAGGTGCTCACCCTGGAAGAATTTTGTGGGTGGGGGAGGACGTGTATGGGATTGGTAAACAGCCTCCAGGAAAGACTGAGACCATAGGTTTTCGGTCACTGGTTTGGGGTCACCCACCTCTTTCTCCTGGTCCACCGAATCTTGGTCTGTGTTTTCCTAGCACCTGAGTGACAAGAGACTATAAATGCTGGGATTTGTAGTGGACCAGTAAAACACCTAGGGCTGGACCAGGAGATGGAACAGGAGGTTGTATGAGGTTATTGTAAACTGTAGCAGTTGGTGTTTTCCCTTACCTAAGGCTACATTGTTTCCCCAGCCCCAAGTTTCAGCCACCTTCCAGACTAAACGAGAAAGAGTAACTTGTAAACTAAACAGGGGAGATATATGCATTGATAAATACAGGGCTGAGGGCAAGGCAAGAAAAGGCTAACTGTATGTGGGTATGGTTAGGAATGTCTACAGGGGTCAGGAAGGGGAATCAGGGAAAAGCAGAGAAAGACAGACAGACCGACAGACATGCACAGTGAGAGAGAACAGAAAAGAAGTCAAAAGGGAGTCAAGCATATGGGCAGTGAGCAGCAGAGAAGCCAGCGTTAAGGAGGAAGAATCCTGATGGAGAAAACTGAGGTGCCGTTTAAAATTGGTCTCTGAAGCCAAATCACTGATAAAGGCAAAGATCGTGTATTGCTCTTAAAACTTGTTGAGACTCAAGTCTTCTAGAACTTAACGCCTAAGGAAAGACTGTCTCACTTGACCAGCACATGTGCTTTTGAGCCAGATACTGGGAACTGCGTAACTCGTTGTTTCCTCCTTTGCCCGGGCCAACACACATTCATTGTGCGCGCCAGAAACTTTCTTTCCCACTCCTCCCTGTGGATCTGATTTCTCTCGTAATTTCGGTTTGTACTGTCACGTGCCTTGGCTGTGATTTTATTTTAAGGTGGCCTAAAGTCATTTTTGAAAGTAGACTGGGCATAAATCCTAAATATAGAAATGTAGCTAAAGTGGATTAGACTCAAAGCAATTGAAAGAAGTCAGAGAGGGGCAGGATGAAAGAATGAGGGCAGGGGGAGAAAGAGAGAAAATGGGAACAGAGGTGAGTGAAGCGAGGCACGTGTGCAAAGCAGCAGTCTCCAACCACGACAGACAGTGACAGGTGGTGGTGGGGTTTGGACAGTGAAGGCAACACAGACTCAAGGGTAGAGCTCTCTTCTCCACCTCTGGGCACTAAATCTTTCTGCAGGAACCCCGCTCCGGTCTACCCTGCTCTCCCTTGACCTTCCCTCCCCTAGGCAGTCCTAGCCGCACCCTAGA